GGTGTCATATTAAGAAAGGTAAAATATCAAAATAGTTTTACAAAAAAGTCCTCACGGCTGCACAGTGTTTGAGAAAAATAGAGCATTTAGTGCAATATCCAAGAAGGAATTCGGTCAGTCTACAACCAAATTTTTCAAAGCTAGACCAAACTTTTTCAGTGTCGCATGCAATCTAAACTTTTCTATAAGATTATACAAATAACCGAATTTTAACTTTACTAAATTATTATTAGTGTTATTAAGTGTCAAGTTTTAATTTTCGGAGGTTTAACCGGCAGGTGTCATTAAGTTATTAATACTATGTTTGTTTACATAGTATTAAAACTCCCGGAATGGCTCTAAGGAACCTCGCAATAGTAGCCAGACTAAGGATGCTAGATAAACATTCCACAGAGGTGCCAGATCTCATAAAAAGCACCAACCACTGTACCAGGTATAAGTGAGGGCGACTGTACCAGAAGCGTACATCTGGATGTCAAAATAAATATGGCCAGAAATGGGTACAAATGCATTCAAATGTACATAAATACGTATTAGAGTAATGTTAAATACATTACTGCCCATCTCCTAATATGCCCCCCACCCCCACTTCCGTCAACCCAGCACACCTACCCACAAGCTCAGGGCGGCCAGGAAATCGAAATCATCCATCCGTCCTAAGGTTCGATACATGAATATTAACATAACATCATTGATAGTAGTGTCAGATGCCTGGCCATCTACCTGCACTCCGGTATAAATGTAAAATGGGTAAATAAGGTGGTGATGGTGGTGATGGTGGTGACGGTGAAGTTGGAAAAAATTAATAAAAGAACAACAAAAGAGATTTCAAGCTTACAGCAGTACCAAGTGGCTCCCAGCTATAGTAAACATCTCAGCCACTATCACTCTTAAAAGAATGTCTCCTTGTGAGGCGCTGGTGCTTGGGTAACTGATAGTTTTAATATTTTTTGTCTATCATGCATCTCTCTTTTGTATTAGATTGGTTTTATAAATGATGTATTATTAAATAAATTCTAATCATGATAAATTTTTTGTTCTTTGATTCAATATCATAATTAAACACTGTAAATTATGATAAAGTGTCAAGCGCCGGAGCCTTTCTCATTCAGGGGTGATCGACAGCATGGTGGTATCCGTATTTATATCTCTCAAATAGTGAGACAAGGGTTCGATCCTCCCCTGGACTATATACAGTTATTACTTATTTTCATTTTCTATTTCGAAACTAATGTGGCTTACAATGTAGATTTGAATTATGCTATAGGATAATTTATGCATTGATCTGGGAGGCTAGCCATTACAACACCCCCCACCAGATAATAGATAATCACCACACCATGTCGCCTCACAGCTCAGGTCTACATGTTCTCTCAGCTCTAGTTTCTCCTTGAAGGAAAACTAAAATATATATTTTAAGAAAAATCAATGAACCAACCTGGCTTTAATTAACCTACTGTTTGTGACTGAGGGAAGATGTCACGCCGGTAGGAATGAGAATGAAAGTTGCCACCATAACTCCCCTATCATGTTATTCCCTTCATTATGAATAATTTGTAATAAAACTTATTTATTCCACCACATCAGGACGTAATATTTTCAATCAATGAAAAAACAAAATCATCAGGTGCGACTGAAGGAGAAATTTCAGTACACACATAACAACATGATGGTAACCTGACACATGAACTGATCAATTTCCTCAAACACCCTAAAATAGTCAGGACAATTTGACACTATTTTAAATGAAATCACGACACACATCCTTGACCACTGGAGGGTCAAGATCTGTACGGCGTTGCTGCTGCTGTGGTAGTTGCCTGGGCTAATTGTTGGCCCAAGGGCCCATACCCCCCAACTCCCTCCCCTCAACCCTTCCTTCTCACCCGGATGTCAACAAAATCCCGCCAAAGGTGACCATTTCGTTTCGGAAAGGAGTGGGATCAGTGTTGAACAGTGAAGTCAGCAGTAAACAGTGGTAGCTAAGAGTCATGAACCACCAGTGATGTCCTAACAACCATAGATAAGCACCCCTGGGAACCGACCACCATCTTCTGACCAGGCTGTATAGTTTTAATCAGTTCACTCTGGGAACAACCGTGGGTTGGCTTTACACCTGGCCATGAGATATATATTCCACTGTCCCTTACCGAGCAGCATCTTTTTCTATTTCTTTTAAAAGAAATTCATATCATATAAAATTAAATGTCATACTTAGTCTTGACAAATATAATACAGGAGACAATTAGTGCTATGAACTAAGAAGGTTGACGACCCTAACAGTTAAGATAGTAAACAGCAGCTAAAGCTGTTCACTTTTCCTGTACAGTTAGTTTAACATTACGCTTAATATGGCAAAGACAAGTAAGGTGAAGGTGTATCTGTAGTGCAGTCAGTATTTTTCTGGTGTGTTTATTTCGTGTTTTCTTCATGCTTTGCCCATCATGATTTTTTATCCATGATCATGTAACTTTAACCGTCTCACTTTTTTCCATAGTATGGAATTTATTGTCGACTGACTGCCTCTTTCAGAAATAATACAAAACGACTATAAGTGAGCAGAACACTTTATCGCATTTCATTAACAATAACTCGAAAATTAAATCTAGGAAAACGTGCGCGACCCGACTTAACGTGTAGTGTGAATCCCTTAACTAAAGTTTATATATGATAGACCAACCCAATTTATTTCAAAATATTTATAGCATTTGACAATATGATCAAGCGATATGGAAAAGCTTGACGTCTCCGAAGACTTTCCTGGGCCCGAGGGAAACTCCTTTACTAAGCTTTCATATTCTACTTTCTGTTTTTTTAAGTTTTTCATCCATATCTCGACACTATCATCCCTAAGTGAAAAGGGATAAGCCATAAGTAAGTTTTCATCCGCCTTGATCCACAGATCTCCAGTGTAAGCTGAAACTCTAAGATATACAATAAAATGTCAAGAGAGAGAGATCAGGCCCGGCCAAAATGGCGAATGAATTGTGCTTCATCTTCCAACTGCTTTGGTGCAGAGTCAAGTGCTCATTACTGGTGCGTGTCGGATTCCTCTAGTAGGGCACTCAGGGTGCAGACGCGCATCCACGGATCTTTGACATGAACCTTTGAAGCCGAGATCAGAACGTGTTCAGGGTTCGTATTGAAATGAGGCACCGACATGATACTTTGAAGATGGAGTCAGGAAGTGTTTACGAATCAGACGGAACTTAGATATCGTCTCGACTCTGAACTATGTTGGTGGGGCCAGAAACGGTTTACGAATCAGACGGAACTTGACTACAGTCTTGGAGCACTGAATTCGGTTTCGAAGATTGTTACCTGACCAGACGATAAATGAATGTGCTGTAGATCAAATTAGGAAGAGTTATGGGAGAATCAAAGACGAGATGTTAAGAGCCTTAACCCCACATCAAGACATCTATGGTTCCGTTAAGGACTAAATAATGACCTGGTGTTCCTGGATGTGGACTCTGTTCATATACGAGTATATGAGCAGTGTACCAAGACTGTAGGTCTGTTAGCTCAGTAATACCTGGCAACTAACTAATAATAGTTATTTTGAGGCAACACTATTGTAAAGTTTAAAGTTTCAAGACAAAATTGAACAATAATTTATGAAATTCGTAAGCATACATAATAATTTCTTTAGAGAAAATACAAATGTTAAATATCAATTAAATACAAGAACGTCGTAAATGAAGGGTCATATATATATCGCTCAGTAATACTTGAGGAAATTAATATTTTCCAGGTTACTTCGAATTGGAACTTGGTTTGATTTAGTGGCCATCAACGCTTGGGTCATTATGGCCGAAGAGGAACACACTTTAGTTAATGTTATCGGAATTCTATCTTATATAATATTATTTTTTGATGGACTAGTGTAAATACTCTCCTCGTTGCACACTTAAAGACCTTAGTTGTTGAAGCACAGTAACAGCATTATAAGAGAAAAGGCGGTAGTTATGGTAAAATTTCTGCATTTACTGGTGTGAATACCTGTTTGAGGAAAGGACCAACAACCTCAGGAACGTAAAACAGAAATATGTATATAATCTACTTTATCACAGTTTTCTTTGATAAATATGTAGAGACGAAAATGGTGGTGGTTGTTAGTGCACCTCAAGAAATGACTGTGACGGACGAATGATCTTTTAATATGAGGAGGACTTGTTGACGCCTGTGAGCTCAGTTTTTATACCTGAATCACTGCCAAAATGTGGTATAGAAGATATTGGCTCAGGTCACAATGAATGTGATGCCGGGTACTTCACCTCCTCGATCCGGTGAAGCGAAAGGGATTAAAAAACACATCAACAATAATAATGTCCTTACTAGAAAACTTCCAGCACTGTACAGTCACGGACAAAAGTTCGAATTAAGATGAAGTTCGGTAACTTGTTCCACCCATCCACTATATTGTCAAACCAATGTTTATCTATCTCACTCCTAAATCTAAATTTGTCTAATTTCAAACCATTGCTACGGTTTCACTCCTGATTGGATAGTTGTATAGTGTTTTCATGTTTAATATAGTGTTTCCATGTGCCAGATAACCTCCATCAGTTCAAAATATTCTGCTGTAGACACCTTAAATTTTTGACAACAGGACGCCTCGGTAAACATGTGTGACAATGACGCTTGCCTAATCTACCCCGGTCTTTTTATTTGTAAGAAAAACAATTTTATCCCGATTTTACTTTATCTTGGTTATGGTTAAGAAAGAGCTTTCAATATGCATCCTTTAAGTTGTGTGAGAATTTGTTGAACAATTCTCTGATCCCATATTCTTATTTTTCTCTTCAAGTGAAACAGAATTTGAACAACAACGAAATGTAAGATTTAAATATTAAAAACATTCGTGTGTTTATTAATATTATTATTATTATTATTATTATTATTATTATTATTATTATTATTATCATTATTATTATTATTTTAAACTCAGTTTGTCCACATCAGTTTCACCTCTAAACTGATATATGAGCCAATACTTTTCAGTGATAAAACGGTTGTTTATTTGTCAAGATCACTTCTGAACCCTTTAAGAAGGTCTGACCAGTGGAGATCACACGCATATCAGCTTGGACTACACCTGGATACTGACTTCCTTCCTTCCTTCTTCCTTCTCTCTTTTCCCTCTTTCTTTCTTCTTCCTCTTTCTTTCTTTCTTTCTTCTTCTTCTTTCTTTCGTTCTTTCTTCTTCTTTCTTTCCTCTTCTTTCTTTCTTCTTTCTTTCTTCCCTCTTCTTCTCTTTCTCGGGAAGATACCTGGCACGAACTATGGGGAATGCGAGCTTAACCTTACACCTCCATCAATCAAGAGATTTTGCGTTTATTCAGAATATGATTATTATGTTAATGTATGTTGGTGGATCAAGTGGGTACAGACACGTCAAACACGGAAGACAATAAACCTCAAGATAAAGAGAGGAATAATAATAATAATAATAATAATAATAATAATAATAATAATAATAATAATAATAATAATAATAATAATAATAATAATAAGTAAGAAAGATTGGTGTCGGAGAGCTGTAAAAAGCGACGGGAAAGTTAACAAAAAAGTAGAAATATTCACACAATCGCGTTCATGTTCTCATCTTACACACACAGTAGACATCTGTAAATGGATTATGTTTAAGAAAATTTTTAATTATATTAGGATTATGATTATTTTCACGTATTTAATAGAACTTTAGTTTGACTAATTTAAGTAAAATCTCTAATGATTGAATGACTGTCCAGGTAAAGTGACACACAACATTCTAAGATTCAAAATTTAACACAGGAAAAGATATCGCAAATTGAAAATGACTCCATTCCTCCATGACCTTCTGAAAGTGGAGTTATTGTAATGTAATATATTCATTAATTATCTACAGTTGTCACATCTTTACTCAACATATGAATTCCATTTTTGTTATTACGATTGAGTTTTATTTTGAGTTTATATGTGATTTAATATTCAGTTTGTTGTATAAATTTACGACAAAGTGAGTCCATCATATAATAAATAATAATGGAAGAGCGTCGACTGAGCCCGCCCGTCTCTGATCCACACAAACAAACGCTCACACACACACACACACACACACACACACACACACACACGCTCTCTATTGTGTGTGCTTACGTATACACACGTGCACCAGAGTCAACAGCAAATAGTACGCACACCGGGGTCACATTTCGTATTGCCAGAGAAAAAGATTTATATACATCTATGCATTTTCAGACGTAAAAAGAATTCTTTCTCCTTTCCCGAATTCTCTTTAATTTTCATGACTCGCCTCATTCAGCGGCAGAAGGATTAAGGAAAATTAAAACTTTTTTTTGCTGTTGCCACACTAAACTTTTTTTTTCTTTGTTGCCTGAAATAGCGACTTGTGTGGTCGTTGTGTATGACGGAGTTTAGGTCGTGGCTTCACATTTACTTCGTGGTTTCACAGTTTCCATCATATTTTTACAGTTTATGTCGTAGTTTCTAAATATACTTCATAGTTTCGAGTTATTTCGTATTTTACGTCGTAGTTTGATAATTTAGTTTGTACTTTCATAGTTTCGGTCGTAGTTTCACAGTTTATGCCGTATCTTCACTGTTATTTCGTACTGTTACAGTTTCAGTTAGAATTTCACAGTTTCAGCCATAAATTCACACTTTGTGTATTACATTCAGTGTATTCGTGGTTTGACATTTCATTTACATGGTAGTTCTACAGTGTATTGTATATTAAGTGTGCATTAGTTTTTTACGTAGTTTAAGATTTGGGTTGATAGTTTCAGACATTGTTTCAGAATAAAATTTTCATAGACTATGTCGAAGAATCTCATAATAAGTTAAAGTTTCACGGTTTCTGTCGTAGTTACACATTCAATTTGTAGTTGTAAATTTTAAGCGTTTTTTTTCACCTTTTTTAGTCGTAGTTTAACATTATATCGTAGTATCACAATGGTTTTTGCGTTTTGATTTGTGCTTCGCCAGTTATGTTTTTTAAGTACCCAATAAGTTCGTATACCGGTATCTAATTAAGCTTAAGTTCTTAGGGACAATTTCCCTCTTTGAGTAAATAATTGCGAGTACTTTTCGTAATTTTTCTTTACTAATCGTAATTTTTTTTTTGTATATTTGTCTAGTTCTTTCTCGCCAAATTTGATATTTGCTCGTTACGAGTCATCTGCTATCTAATCTACCATATATCATTCCCTTATTCACCTCTTGTTCATTGTGACTGCAACTATAAACAAAATTACAACAGCAATAAAAACTCTGCTAACATCAGACTCACAGCTTCACGGTATTAAGAGTAAGTGTCCTGTATACACGGCAGCACCTTCCATATTGTTCTTTTGTTTTCTGGTAGCCCAGTGACGTTACCTTATCCTTCAATAACTTTATAATACGAAAACTCTAATATAATAATTCGTGAAAATAAATAAACTCAAAACAATAGTTATAGCTTTTTCAATACGTCTTCCGTCTCTGCCAGTCTCCATTGCACTTCCCTGTGACCAGCATCGTCTTCCAGATTTCTTGACCAATTTCGTTTATTCTCCTGACGTTACCATCTCCTTTTATTGACTTTATAATACGTATCTCACACGGCCGAGGACCCCACCAAGGGTTTTTGAATCCTTCTCTCTTACCCTCCACAAAAGCCATTTCAACTCTCTCTCTCTCTCTCTCTCTCTCTCTCAATTCAATACAGAGTGTAAACACATAAGCGAAAGGAACACGAACCGCTACTCTCCTTTTTTTCTTGTTGGCAATCAGTAGGGAAGTAGTGTGGGAGGCTGGCGTGGCATTGGGCTAGACGCTGCCAGTCCTGGCGGAGCTGGACATGTGTATCACCCTCCTGACATCGGGGTCAGCCGTATCAGGTGCCGGGAGAGTGTCAGCGGGCCTTCCTGGCTCAATAATTGAGTGTCAGGCGCCCGGGTTCGCCCACCATGGTATGAATGATAGCTAAGGTCACACTAGGTCGCGGCTCGCCCACAAAAGGTCAAGAGAAGGGAGGGGGAGGTGCGAGTCGTTGAGGGAGGATAACGCGGGATGCATATTGATGATGACCTCATAAATATGACATGTTCAAGGTCAGGATCAAGTGTGAAGTTATGAGTGTGGATTTAGCAAGAGTGTATAGATGTGTGCGCCTGAGAGAGCAGCTGGGCACATCGCTCCCCGAACCCCACCACCCAACCCTACACCGAGCTAAGACAAGGATGAGCCCAATATGACACTAACTACCAACCACCCCACTTCACATGATCTCGGTCTGTCTTTAAGTGTTGTTTAGACCTGGCTTGGTACATAGACGCACATAATCATCAGCATTAACACTATTTAACAACAAGCTTATTACTACATTCGGTCTAGGATACATACACGCATCAAGCTTGCCAACTCATTCCTCTGGTTTTACGCCCTAACTGTGAGCGTCTGAAAAACTCGTGCATCCAGCTTGGTCTTTGATGTTGGTAATTACAACATCAGGATTATGTTTATATATTTTCTGGAGAGATAAATGTTGTTCGTATACCGTGTAGTGAGGTCACAGACAACACTTTAATTCCATTACCTTAACCGATAAAAACATGTGAAGAAATATAAAACCTCGGAATCAAAACCACCTCCTCAATGCACCACACATGCATATACTCGTCTACTCCGCAGTGACGACGGGGAAGCTGTCGGCCAGCTCATCTAAGGAAATGTGATATTGTTAAACTTAATGACTGACTGGTGGACATTTCCTCAATATAAGGAGAAAACATTAATACCCAGCTGGGGACATAAACATCTCACAAAGAGAGGGGAAGCTCTCAACTCCTCAACACGGTAATAGGAAGTATACAGCAGGTGAGGGGAAGTATACAGCAGGTGAGGGGAAGTATACAGCAGGTGAGGGGAAGTATACAGCAGGTGAGGGGAAGTATACAGCAGGTGAGGATATACAGCAGGTGAGGGAAGATACAGCAGGTGAGGGAAGTATACAGCAGGTGAGGAAGTATACAGCAGGAGGGAAGTATACAGCAGGTGAGGACGTACAGAAGGTAGGAAACAAAAGCATGTGAGGACGATACAGCAGGTGAGGGAAGTATACAGCAGGTGAGGGAAGTATACAGCAGGTGAGGGAAGTATACAGCAGGAGGGGACGAATACAGCAGGTGAGGGAAGTAAAGCATGAGGACGATACAGCAGGTGAGGGAAGTATACAGCAGGTGAGAGGAAGACACGTCATATAAGGGAAGTATACAGCAAGTGAGGGAAGTATACAGCAGGTGAGGGAAGCACACAGCAGGTGAGAGGAAGTATACAGAAGGAGAAGGGAAATACACAGGTAGGAAGTAAACAGCAGGTGAGGGAAGTAAACAGCAGGTCAGAGGAAGTACAGCAGGTGAGGGAAGATACAACAGGTGAGGGGAAGTAAAACAGCAGGTGAGGGAAGTAAACAAAGCAGGTGAGGGGAAGTATACAACAGGTGAGGGAAGACAGCAGGTGAGGAAGTACAGCAGGTGACGGGAAGCAACAGCAAGGTGAGGGAAGCAAACAGCAGGTGAGGGAAGTAAAGCAGGTGAGGGGAAGTATACAACAGGTGAGGGAAGCATAGCAGGTGAGAGGAAGATACAGAAGGAGAAGGGAAGAATACAGGTGAGGAAGTAAACAGCAGGTGAGGGAAGTAAAACAGCAGGTCAGAGGAAGTATACAGGTGAGGAAGTACAACAGGTGAGGAAGTATACAGCAGGTGAGGGGAAATATACAACAGGTGAAGGGAAGTATACGACAAGGAGAGGAAGGATGCAAGACAAGGAAGCAGGTGAGGGAAAATAAAGGTGAAGTAAACAGATGCAGCCAAGGAAGGCGGCGGAGAGAAGTATAAAGCAGGCGAGGGGAAGTAAACAGCAGGTCAGAGGAAGTATACAGCAGGCGAGGGAAGTATACAAGAGGAGGAAGTATAAAGCAGAAGAGGGGAAGTAAACAGCAGGTCAGAGGAAGCAGCAGGCGAGGGAAGTAAGTACAGCAGGCGAAGGAAGTTGCTCTGCCACACCAACAAAAGAAAAGGAAGGAAGACTCAACATTCAAGTGTAAGGGTGACTCTCATGAGAATGTAAGCCTTTGAAGCCTAAAACAGAAGTCAAAGAGTTTTTAATCCTGCCAGTTGATGATGGAGCACCAACAGCCCAGAGAGGGAATAACTGCATGGGGAGGG